GCGGTGAGTGGTTCTGAACCACGGGGTACCATCTTTTGGGAGTGTACCGCTTAGGGCAATCGATCTAGCACTTTGCCGAGGTACAGTCCTGAGCAGAAGTACTGACATAGCGCGACTACGTTTACCGTGGTCGGATCCGCAGAATGAACTGGGCGATTTCTGATTTTGACGATGCTGACGTCATCAACATCTTCATCTTAGCCATATGGCCGAGATGCGATGAGTGGTTCTTAACCACGGGGTTACTTCTTGGAGGAGAGTACCACTTACGGCAATCGATCTAGCTCTTTGTTGAGGTACAGTCCTGAGGAGAAGTACTGACACAGCGTGATTACGATTAGGGCGGTCGGATCCGCTCAATGAACTGGGCGATTTCTCATTTTGGAGGAGCAGACGACATCAACATCTTCATCTTGGCCATATGGCCGCGATGCGATGAGTGGTTCTTAACCACGGGGTTCCTTCTTTTAGGAGAGTACCGCTTTCGGCAATCGATCTAGCTCTTTGCTCAGGTACAGTCCTGAGGTGAAGTACTGACACAGCGTGGCTAGGTTTACGGTGGTCGAACCCGCACAATAAACTGGGCGATTTCTCATCTTAGCAATGCTGTCGTCATCAACTCCTTCATCTTAGCCATATGGCCGAGATGCGGTGACTAGTTCTTAACCACGGGGTTCCTTCTTTTAAGAGAGTACCGCTTACGGCAATCGATCTAGCTCTTCGCTGAGGTACAGTCCTGAGGAGAAGTACTGACACAGCGTGACTAGGTTTACGGTGGTCGAAGCGGCACGATGAAATTTGCGATTTCTCATTTTAGCCATGCTGACGTCATCAACATCTTCATCCTAGCCATATGGCTGACATGCGATGAGTGGTTCTGAACCACGGGGTTCCTTCTTGGAGGAGAGCACCACTTACGGCAATCGATCTAGCTCTCTGCTGAGGCACAGTCCTGAGGCGAGGTAGTGACACAGCGTGGCTAGGTTTACGGTGGTCGGATCCGCACAATGAACTGGGCGATTTCTCATTTTAGCCATGCTGACGTCATCAACATCTTCATCTTAGTCATATGGCCGAAATGCGGTGAGTGGTTCTGAACCACGGGGTTCCATCTTTTAGGACAGTACCGATTACGGCAATCGATCCAGCACTTTGCTGAGGTACAGTCCTGAGCAGAAGTACTGACAGAGGGTGACTAGGTTTACGGTGGTCAGATCCGCACAATGAACTGGGCGATTTCTCATTTTGTCGACGCTGACGTCATCAACATCTTCATTATAGCCATATGGCCGAGACGCGGTGACTGGTTCTGAACCACGGGGTTCCTTCTTCGAAGAGAGTACCACTTGCGGCAATCGATCTAGCTCTTTGCTGAGGTGCAGTCCTGAGGCGAAGTACTCACACAGCGTGACTAGGTTTACGGTGGTCGGATCCGCACAATGACCTGGGCGATTTCTCATTTTAGACATGCTGACGTCATCAACGACTTCATCTTAGCCATATGGCCGAGATGCCATGAGTGGTTCTGAACCACGGGGTTCCTTCTTGGAGGAGAGTACCGCTTACGGCAATCGATCTAGCTCTCTGCTGAGGTACAGTCCTGAGGGGAAGTACTGACACAGCGTATCTAGGTTTACGGTGGTCGGATCCGCACAATGACCTGGGCGATTCCTCATTTTAGCCATGCTGACGTCGTCAACGACTTTTTCTTAGCCATATGGCCGAGATGCGGTGAGTGGTTGTGAACCACGGGGTTCCCTCTTGGAGGTGAGTACCACTTACAGCAATCGATCTTGCTGTCTGCTGAGGCTAAGTCCTGAGGAGAAGCACAGACCCAGCGTGATTAGGTTTACGACCGTCGGATCCGCACAATGACCTGGGCGATTTCTCATTTTAGCCATGCTGACGTCATCAACATCTTCATCTTAGTCATATGGCCGAGATGCGGTGACTGGTTCTGAACCACGGGGTTCCTTCTTTTAGGAGAGTACCGCTTACGGCAACCGATCTAGCTCTCTGCAGAGGTACAGTCCTGAGGGGAAGTACTGACACAGCGTGGCTAGGTTTACGGTCGTCGCATCCGCACTATGACCTCGGCGATATCTCATTTTAGCGATCCTGACGTTGTCAACATCTTCATCTTAGCCATATGGGCGGGATGCGGTGAGTGGTTCTCAACCACGGGGTTCCTTCTTTTAGGAGAGTACCGCTTACGGCAATCGATCTAGCTCTCTGCTGAGGCACAGTCCTGTGGTGAAGTACTGACACAGCGTGACTGGTTTTACGATGGTCGGATCCGCACAATGAACTGCGCGATTTCTGATTTTAGCGATGCTGACGTCGTCAACATCTTCAATTTACCATGTGGCCGAGATGCGATGAGTGGTTCTGAATCACGGGGTTCCCTTTTTTAGGACAGTACCGCTTACGGCAATCGACCTAGCTCTCTGCTGAGGTACAGTCCTGAGGAGAAATA